TGTCCTCCTATAGGTTCTGATGGACTTTTTCCAGCCACATCTATTGTATTCAGTATTTTGGGATGGCACTGTAAACAGATGAAGCCAATAATGTATTATAGGTTCCAACTGAGAGAAAGCATGGTTAACTGAGGTTACTAAGAGCAGAAAGTAATTTGAATCAATTGGTAAATTAAAAAACAGTGAAAGTTTTAAAAAGCTAGTATTGAAACTGCTATATTTGTTATCCAATGATTGAAACTGCTTTCTAAATTTTCATTTGATATTGCTATTGTCAGTAAGTGATCTGGGACTTGAGCACCCCCTTGACTTGCATCCTCTGGTCTGCTTTAACAAAAACCAGGAGGAAAAGAAAGCTAGGCATCAGAAGCAATGGGTGGCAGGCCTATTAATGGCTGTTCTGTACAGTGATCTTCCCTCAAGGAGACCCAACAGGCCAGTCCACTGCAGTGGCTTTCAGTGTGGTAAGCCTGGGCTTCAGCAGAAATCAGCTTGTGAAGAGCCCTGGCAGCTCTGCCAGCCAAGAGCTGGATCACTGGGAATGGACCTGCTCTGGAGCCGAAGGACACCCAGGTCAGAGCCACAGACCTTATTGGCTCTAAGCTGAAGAGCTCTTCACTTGGCCCAGTTTCCAGGGTGACCATCGCAGCTGAGGGGACGGCCGGGTGGGGTCAGCAATATTACAGGCAGAACTGCAGGTTTCCTGTTGGAGATGCCACCTGCCTTTGCCTGGCCAGCTCTCCTCCAAGACCAGCTGGGTGATGGAGGTCAACAGGGTGTCTTCCCCAGGGGGGTTCACACCTCCCTTAGGATGTACCCTATGTGAAGATAGGTAAGTCTGGGCCTCATAACTTATAAGGTCTAAAACCCACCAGATTATTATCAGGCCCCTTCTGTCAGGTTCTATTTGCCTCTCAATCAGCAAACTTAGTTGTGGCTTAGACAGCACCTTTCTTGAGTCCTCTAATAATGACTCTGACCCTGTCTAGCCCACTTGGGTCTCACGTACCGGACACCTTGCAGCAAGGGCATCCTGGACTACTCAGACTTAACAATGCAAACTGTTGAGTTACTGACCTCACCTGGGTAGATGGTGGCTTCGGATCTGTTCATGACTTAAGGGATTTTTTTAAAGGTCTATTTATTTGAAAGGCAGAGTTAGAGAAAAGGGATGGGGGAGAGAGAGGGGGTGAGGGGGAGACACACACACACACACACACACACACATACACACACACACAGAATCTTCCATCCATTGATTCACTCCCCGAATGGCCAGGGCTGGACCAGGCCAAAGCCAGAAGCTACATCTGGGTCCCCAGCATGGGTGGCTTTGGGCCATCCTTAGGTGCTTTCCCAGGCACATTAGCAGGGAGCTGGATTGCAAGAGGAGCAGCCAGGACTTGAACCAGAGCCCAAATGGGATGCCAGCATCACAGACAGAAACTTCACCTGCTGTGCCACAGTGCCAGCTCCATGACTTACAGTATCAAGCCTTCGCCTGTTTTTAGCAAAAGCTCCAATTAGTCAAGAAGCCGTCTTCATTTATTTATTTATTTATCCTGCTTATCTGTTTCTTATCAATCAAAGAAATCCCTGTAGAGCCCACAGCAAAGGTCTGTCTTCCAAGAAGCTTTTCAGACCCAATTGGGGTCAGATTTCCTGGCTGCCTTTTATATCAGAAGCCCGGCAGAGAGCCTGACTCAGCATTTCACAACATGACTCCTGTTTTTTTTTTCTTTGGCAAGGAGACCCACTGCTTTGCAACACAAACCTTTGCTAAATTAACCCATCAAACACTACAAATGTCACTTAGGCACAGATTAGACAAATAGACCCCCTTCACAAGTCTGGGGAACCGTTCTCTGCCCAGATGCTCCAAGGCGACAGATGGGGAGATCAAACCTTTTCCAGTTCGGCCTGGAGGCCTCTGACGGGACACTGGGAGGCAGCAGGCAGCGTGGGCTCCTGGCCCACAGACAAGAGAAGGAAGTCTCCCCTGGGACAACCTGGACCCCTTCAAAAGCATGAAATCCTCCCAGCACTTCCCCTCGCTGGTGCTCAGGAATGAAACACATCCAGTCGCCAAAAGCTGCCATCCGAGAAGGCAGAGAAGGACAAGGCTCTGCTCCGACAGGGAGAGGCACCCGAGGTTGGGCCACGCGGGACGTTGTTTTCCGAACTCACGGCGGGCCTGGAGGGAGCATGACGCCAGCACCACAGGCACAGAGCAGCTGTGCTTGTTTGGCAGGAGTTCAGTATAAACCTTACGAATGTCCTGCTGGCTCTCTCATTTAAAAAAAAAAAAAGATTTTGAAAAATTCCATAAACACTAAACTGCCAGTGTAGAATTTGCACTGTAGAGCTTTTCCCACTGGAGTAAACTATGTATTCCAAACAAATTTTGAGCCATAAAGGTACCAATAAGTTATTCTCTTCAGAGAAATTTAATGGAATAAATGTAACAGGCAGATTGAAAATCAATAGTAAGGACTGGCATTTTGGTACAACGTTTAAGCCCCACCTACAATGCCACATTCCATATGAGCACTGGTTCGAGTGCCAACTGTGCCACTTCTCATCCAGCTCCCTGCTAATATGCAAGTACTTGGGCCCCTGCCACCCACATGGGAGACCTGGATGAAGTCCCTGACTTCTTCCTGGCCCCAGCCCTGTCCGTTGTGGCCATCTGGGGAGTGAACCAGCAGATGGAAGATCTCTTTCTTTCTTTCTCTCTGGGTAACTGTGCCTTTCAAATAAATCTTTTTATTTAAAAAAAAGAAAAAAAAAATGGTCAGAGCAGTTCCAAAGAATCACTGAACATAAATTCTCTCTGAAGTATCAGGATGAAAACATGGCCATGAATAATCTACTTTCCAAGAGAGGCTTTCAATAGAGGAAGCATAGATTACATTTCCACTCAGAACTGGTCATCAGGCATCAGAGAACTTCCTTTTCATTCCCAAATTTTGGCTCATTACCAAGATACCACAATGGGTGTATTTTGCTCATTATCCAACTATTCCAGCTAAGAAGTCACTACACCATCACTGTGTGTGTCCAGCACCGTGGCATATCCCCAGATCCTGGTACCTGCCCATCCTTCTTCTGTTTCTCCCATTGCAGACTTGAATGTGCTCAAGGGACAGAACTGAAACAAACCTTTACAGGGCAAGCTAATCATCGTTATCATTTCAGTGTGCCTATTTGTGACAGGCCCACATGGTGATCGATACATTCAAGAGAAATCCAAGTCATTCCTAAAAATTTAGAAATTCCTGGGAAGTCAGTAGACTTCTAAGACCAAGAGCACGAGTCAAGATGGCCTTTAAAGCACCGAGGATGGGGTGGGCGTTTGGCCTAGTGGGTAAGACACAAGGTTGGGTGCCTACATCCATACCTAGTGGGTAAGACACAGGTTGGGTGCCTGCATCCCATACCTAGTGGGTAAGACACAGGTTGGGTGCCTACATCCCATACCTAGTGGGTAAGACACAGGTTGGGTGCCTGCATCCCATACCTAGTGGGTAAGACACAGGTTGGGTGCCTGCATCCCATACCTAGTGGGTAAGACACAGGTTGGGTGCCTGCATCCCATACCTAGTGGGTAAGACACAAGGTTGGGTGCCTGCATCCCATACCTAGTGGGTAAGACACAGGTTGGGTGCCTGCATCCCATACCTAGTGGGTAAGACATAGGTTGGGTGCCTGCATCCCATACTGGAGTGCCTGAGCTCAAGTCCCAGCTCCACTCCCAATCCTAGTGTCCTGCTAATGAGGCAGGAAATGATGGCTCAAGTAGCTGGATCCCTAACCACCCACACAGGACACTTGGACTGAGCTGCAGGCCCGGCCATTGCAGGCAACTGGGGAAGGAACCAGTGGATGGCAGCTCACTTGTTCTGTATGCCTCTCAAATAAATAAACAAAAATTAAACGAAAACCCTGAAAGCCAACCAGTCTCTTAAAGAGTATTCAGTGTTGGGTTCCCTACCAACTGTCTGTTCTCTTCCTTTCATTTTCATCTTTGTAACCACCATTCAAGTATAATTGCCAGAGTGTCATATCCTCTGCGGCACACTGAGAAAGATAACACTGCTAACAATCTACTATGCATTCATATTGAGCTACTAAACTGACCCCTAATATGAAACAAAATTCAAAGCCATTGTTTTTTTTTTTTTCTCCTGTTTTCCACAGGATTGAATTGCTGCCCTAATACATTGTCCCTCAGGCCAACAGCTACTCCATGGAAGGTTTTCTTTAGTAGGCACCCCCATGAACACTTCATTACACCTCTTTTGTAAAATGTCTGGCCTCATTTTAAGAAATGGGAATAATACATATGGGGGAATGCTATTGCTCCTCTCTATCCAAATGATAGAGATAAACATACATTATACACACAAAGATAAACATGTAGTGTGTGTATCATATGCACAGTCATACACAGTGATGTTTCAGTCAACGGCAGAACACACATATGATGGGGTCCCATATGGTTGTATGACCCTGTGTTGTCTTAGCCACCTCAGTCTGTGGGAGTTCACTTTATAACATTCACACCACAGCAAAATCGCCTGATGATGCCTGGTCAGAGAGTGATGTGTGGCTGTACACAGCCTGAGAGTCACCTGAATTAGTGTCACTCAAAGCATCATTATATAATTTCAATATGTGACTCGTAGCCATCTTCACCCATCATCCAGAAGTGGAGACTAAACATTCGTGGGAAACATGACTTCATCCCCAATCAATTAAACAGTTGTCTTTTCACAAAGCATACCATTTACTGGTCAACTATCTGGGAAGTCAGCTTAATAGCAAACAATCTGGCCGGCTACGCACTACCACTCAGAACAGCCACCTCCTCACGCTCACGGGCGGCCAGCCCCTGACCTCCAAAATCCCCTTCCACAGACACACTGAGGGACACGTGATGACAGAGGGTGAGAAACGGGGACCAGCCCCACCTTTTGGGCTTCCTTGAGCCTCCATACCTGTGCTGATGCTCCTGCAAGACTTGATAAATGCTGATAAGAAAAGTTTGGTTTTTAAAACTCCCCACCACACAGTCCTTGTAGATGCGGAATTCTGCAGCCGTCACCGCCTCACCCTCGGGAATCTGGGATAGGTTGAACTTGAACTCTTTGTGGTGTCGCTGGCGAGGGGAGAACTCCTTGTCGTACTCCACTACAAGATTAAACAAGAGAGAGTGACAGCTATTGTTACTTGACCAAGCGCCACAGGCTCACCTCATGAACACTCCCCCACTTACATGGATTACCTGTTACCAACAGCTTCTTGGAGGGGTTGGGGGGGGGGGACAAGACATGGGCTAGGCTTTCACCTGGGCAGACATTTAGACCCTTCATGTGACCCAAGGAGGACATCAAGTTCTTAGGTTGAATTCCATTGAAATGCTTTAGCTGGAACCCTTCGTAGAAATAACCTGCATGACGGCAAGTGGCTCTGGGCATCAGGGCTCCTCACATGCACAGACAAATGGGAAAGGAAGATGGCTTCATGGGAGAGGATGAAACACTGACCCAGAGCCCATCTGCCCATCCTAGACCACGACCCTTCCCAGCCCCCTTCCACCCCGGCTGCTTCTGCATCCTTAGGTTGGTTCCTGCATTACCATCAGTGGTTGACATGACCAAGGGTAACCCTGAGCTGAACTTGGGTGGTGGGGGGATGTCCTGAGGGGTTGGGGGTTGGGGGGAGAGAAGTGGGCAGCACATTTTGCCAGGCCTAAAGCTCAAATGGAAAATTTTGTTGAAGAGTTTGGGTAAGGCTTCCTAGGAAAAAGTGCACTCACTAAACCCACTGCCTTCCCCCTACTGCCAGGAGCTGCAGGCTGGACAACGAAGAGCCTGGGAAGGGATTGTCCTGGCCGTGCAGCTGCTGGAACCCTGTTTAATCTGCACGTAGATCCAGGCAGGAGAATGAGGACATGCAAGGAGATTGGGCTTTCTACTGGGTCACATTGGAGAAAGAACATGGACGAGGATTGTCTAAAAGGTTCTTACTTTTAAATATGGAATCCACCTAACCTCCCACCAATGGTTGAATGGACAATGAAAATGTGATATACATGCACAGTGGAAAGCTATGTGGCCTCGACAAAGAAGGAAATTCTGCCATTTGCAACAATGTGGATGAACCTGGAAAACATGTGAAAATCCAGTGAAATTAGCCAGGCATAGAATAACAAACACTGCATGGTCTCATTTACACATAGAATCTAAAAAGGCCAAATTCCTAGAAGCAGAGGGTAGAGCAGCAGTTGCTAGGAGTTGCAAGTGGCTGGGAGGATTTGGGCAAAGTTGGTCAAAGTGTACAAAAGTTCAGTTCTGCATAAAGCATGAGAAACCTAATGTCCAGCATGGAGACCGATGAACTGTTGAAATTCACCAAAAAGCAGTGACTGCAATGAGATGGTAGACAGAATAGCTTACAACAGTAAACATTTCACAATGCGTATCAAAACTAGTTGGACCCCTTAAATACACACGATTTTATTTGTCAATGATATCTCAATAAAGCCAGGCAAAATAAATTTTAAAAAAAGATTTATTTATTTAAAAGGCAAAGATACGAAGAGAGGGAGAGAGGGAGAGAGAGAATGAATGAGAGATCTTCTATCCACTGGTTCACTCCACAAATGGCCATAATGATAGAGATGGACCAGACTGAGGCCGGGAGCCAGGAGCTTTTTCCTGGTCTCCCATGGGCTTTCTCAGGTGCATTAGCAGAGAGCTGGAAGTGGAGCAGCTGGGAATTGAACTGGTGCCCATATGGGGTGCTGGTGCTGCAGGCAGCAGCTTAACCCTCTACACTACAGTGCTGGCCCCGGAAAACAAGCTGTTTAAAAATAGGACATTTTTCCTGCATGAAGACAAACTGTCTTCATTCCATTGCAATCACTGTTGACTTTTGGAATCAGCTTCCGGATGGCTACATGCAGTTTGTGTCTGGGAAATGACACAGAACCTCAGACACGTAGCCCCTAAGCCTTGTAAAAGAAAAAGAGCAGTGCTCTGCCCCACCAACAACCCTTGCCTCCAACCCAGCCGGCCAGGGCTTCCGTCCTGCCCACCCTGGCTGTCTTTTCTTCATGCCAACCAGAGAGAAATCTCAGGAGCAAATTAATCCTCTACGGCAGAGTTTTCCCAGGACATGAGGATAGAAAAAAAAAAAATCAAATCATTTGCCACTTCCAACTTCCCACATTCTCCCACATGTGTTGTTTTCTATAATTACCAGAGAAAAGCTTTGGAGATTTAGTTAAAAAAAAAAAAAAGAGAGAGAGAAAGCCAGTAAATCTCTCCAGGAGAGCCTAAGTCCTCAATGGCATTTGCAAAAGCAGGGAAAGTTAAGTCAGCTACAAGGACAGGGTTTTAAATAAGAAGTTTTCCAACCTGCCGTGTGATTATGGGACCAGTCTTTTAGGTTCAAGTTCTCTCTGACTTCTTTAAGTGCTTTTATACACAGAAAAAGAGGTCCAACCAGCAAGTAAACCACGGTTCAGTCTCAACAAGAGAGCAAGTTTTCTAATTAGTGGCTAAGCACGAACAGCAGTATTGTCTGGGAGTTCACGCCAGGACACCCGCACACGAGGGTGGATCACTTTTCCCTAAAACTGATCTGCCTTTTCAGTTTGATATGTTATCATCGCTGGTTGAAAAGTGATTCAAATCCGATTTCTCAAAAGAGACTCAACAACAACAAGTCACACAGCCTCGCCACAGGGCCTTTCCAGCGCTCGAGTTTAACTCTAAGTGACGATACACCTGTAAAAGCAGCCCTTGTGAGCATGCGTAAAAACTCTTCAGTCTTTGAATCTCTTATGACACAAAATTAGGAAACAAGAAGGATGTGAAGGAGGACATAAGTCAGCGACTTTAAGATGTTTCCGTTTCCAGGAGCAAAGGACAGAAATTTCAGACAGCGAGACAGGTGGGAGCTGGTCTTCGGAGAGGCACAGCACTTGTAATCAACCACGCTTCCCTGTATTTGCACCCTTGGGTCATCAGCTCCCCCCGGCTGGCTCCGCAAACTGCTCTGAGGCAGCAACAGTGGTGCCGACACCAAATACAGGCCGTAAGCTCTGAGCATCTTTCCACTTGGGGACAGTCAGCTGCCAAGCACACCCACTACCTTATACCCCCAAGTGGTGAGGCAGCCCAAGCCACCGTGTAGACAAGAGCTTGCAGAGGGGAGGGCAGGCAGAGGGAGACAAAGCCACCCAACCAGTCCCCAGCTGCCTCCATCAGCCACCAGCCATGTCCTGAAGACGCGACGTTGGACGACAAGCCCAGTGGACCCTTTGGATGACTGTAGTTCCAGCCACAACTGCAGGCAAGGCCTTGAGCAAGAGCCCCCCACTGGTGGAATTGAATCATCTCTCAAGATTGCGAGAGATGGGGCTGGCACTGTGGTGTAGTGGGTAAACCGCCACCTGCAGTGCCGGCATCTCATATGGGTGCTGGTTCGAGTCCTGGCTGCTGCACTTCCCACCTAGCTCCCTGTGAATGTACCTGGGAAAGCAGTAGAGCATGGCCCAAGTGCTTGGTTTCCTGCACCCAGGTGGGAGACCTGGAAGAAGCTCCTGGCTCCTGATAGGCCCAGCTGTGGCCATTGCGGCCATTTGAGGAGTGAACTAGTAGATGGAAGACTACTCTTCCTCTCTGCCCCTGCCTCTCTGTAACTCTGCCTTTCAAATAAATAAATAAATCTCTTAAACAAACAAACAACAGATTGTGAGAGGTAATAACGCCTTGTTGTAAGCCCTGAAAGTTTTGGTGACTTGTTATACAGCGACAGGCAACTTAACACAAGGAAGGGCAGGAGAGAATAAAGGCAGAAGTGGAGAGGAAGTTTGACTACTAGGAAAGGAGAGAAACGACACGTAGTTCTTGGATAAGGATTGTGCAACGCTGGAGGCAAACTGTATAATGAAGGAAGAAATGTTGGCATGAGCTCCCAGACAGATGTGCAGAGATAAAGGATCTAAAAACGGGAAGACAGAAGCACAAAGTATTCATTTCATTACACGGGGAACTGGAACCCATTGCTTTCCCTATTTGTCCTCAAACATTATCTCGAAGCACGCCGAACCTTCTCCTCTATCCCCCTCTTTGGGGAGACTCGGCGTCTCTGTTGCCCGATCAGATGCTGCAGGCTGCCCCAGCTCTCTTGCACAACCCCTTCTGATCCTCCCCTTGCGCCCCTCAACTCTAAGCTGCACCAGTTTCCTCGCTCTCCCCAGGACGTCTCAGCTAGCAGTCCCTGAAGTTGACCTCGAATTCCTTCTCCTCCCTGCCCCCTTTGCCTACAATTGAATTACACAGCACATTCATTAACGTCCAACAGGAACACAAGATGTAAGTAGAATCAGGTGCCTGCACGTGCACTGGTAGACCTCAATGGCAATGAGCTTAGAAACCCGAGATACGCGATTCCTGACTCCTTAAACACTAGACAATTCCAGAAATAGGAAAGGGAGGCAAATGGAGAGGGACTGAGCCTGGAATTCAACCCTCAGGGGCTCGTTTGCACACCAAGCATCTGGCTTATCAATGACAGCACCACATGTGGCGCACAGCTAAGCAGCGGCTCCGAGGGCTGATGTTGTCAAACCGCCATGGGGTTTGAGTTGCAGCTCCTTGTTCTCAGACTCGGGGGAGCGCAGCAAGACATTAGTCAAAGTTTCAGCGTGAGTTATAAAATGACAAGTAGTATCAGTGTAGAGGGTGGAGCAAGACCCTCCGTACAAAACAGCCAATGGCTTAGCCTGGGTGCTCCATACTTGTTAGCTGTGGTCGTTGGCTGTCATTTAGAATCTATCTCTTCTGAGTTTGCAGTCTGTCTTTGCTGAGACATTCAAATTTGCTCATGAGTATGTGGAAAACACTGATGAACAATTCTGTAAATGAGCTGTTCAACTCGAGTGATGCAGGGTGAGAAAAGCCTTCTTAACGGAAATCCTAGCATGCCTTGGTGTTTGGCTACTGAACACACTGCTGTGTTTTCTGAGGCAATAATTCCTAGTTTTTTTTTTTTTTTTATTTCAAGGTCTCAGTTAAAACATTTTTTTAAAATGGTAATGACCTTACACAAGGTCACCTTTTTTTTTTCTGTTTGCCCTTCATAAGGACAATAAAACAAAATAACAAATTGCATTCTTT